TATATATATATATATATATATATATATATATATATATATATATATATGTGTGTGTGTGTGTATATATATATATATATATATATATATATACATACTGTACATATATATACATATAGATATATATACACTATATATATATATATATATATATATATATATATATATATATATACTGATAAGCTTTTCTGTTTTGACAACTTTCATTTCTTTTATTTGTAAATGTTTCTTTTATACTGAAAACACAGAGCTTTAGTAAATCACTATTAGCGTATCACTGAGATATTTCTGAAGGATAATATTTGAATTATTAACGAAATTAACAGTATTTTTTGTCAGTTTCACATGTAGGTTATATACGTTACTGTGCATATTTCAAAAATATTGTCAGTTGAGGAAAGAAAAAGGAATAGGAGAAAAAGAAATAAAAAACACAAAGACAAACAATTTTTAAAAAAAAATGTTTTTTTTTATCATATCATTTAGACCAAAATGTTCACCTAACCTTCCAAAGTCAGCACCCCCTCTTTCTGAGTTCGCCTGACCTTCACAGACGCAAAGTGCATCCATTGGCTAAGCAGGTTGCCTATTTCGTAAACCTGTCCAGCAAAAGGCCGGCCAACTATCTAATTACGAAAATGCAGGGTGGATGGCCTACAAAATGTCGATTAGGTTAGGTGATAAAGAAAAAGAAAAAAAAAAGGCCTTTTTTTTCTGTTTTGTGTTATCGTTGCTGATGTTATCTTTTTTATTTTTAACTAATTTTCTCTTCTTCTACACTACCTGATAACAATCTCAGGGGTATTTTCTTTCTTTTTACTTGACTTTCAGTGTTTCCGTTCTGACCTGAATCTACAACAGAAAACAGAACGTACCAATAACGGACACGCACGTGCCTGCACGCACGACCACACACGCACACGGGGAAAAGAAAGAGGTGGGGGAATATTAGTTAACATTTTTTTTTTAAAAGTGCTGTTAAATTTAATGGTGGAGACAAACAAAAAAATATACGGTTATGTCATTTACCTCATGGAGAAACTTGTTTTTCATTTAACTTTTTCAGCCGTTATATTCTTTAATTGTCGATTTGTGACATTGTATTTGTAAGGTTAAGGGAAGGTAATCATGAAATAAAAATCGTAAGGTACACTTTGATAAAGCAGGAAAATCATTACTTCAGCTTGTAGTATATATATATATATATATATATATATATATATATATATATATATATATAAATCATTCTGGAAAAAATAATCCCCGCTTTTGACGACATACCTGTCTTTTCTATAAATATTTCTTATGGCATTTGCTCTTATAAGGTCTTCTTCATGGTACCTCGTTTACATGAATCTAAGCGTGCTACTAGATTGGTATCTAGGTCTCACAGTTTTACCGTTGAACTATCTAGTTGCAACCATATTTTCTATTTTAATGGTTTCTTTTTTTGCACTTCTCCCCTGAGAAATTCCCTTTCTCTTCTTACTTCTGTGATAATTAAAATATTCAAGGACTTAAATGAAATGTCAATCGCAATCTTCTGTCTTCAGGAGTCCTGTTCCTTTATTGTCCTCTCTCCTCATTAAAGTCTATTCATTGTCTTTACTCCTTGTAACCCTTTGAGTCCTAGTAACATTACCGCCTTGCATGAGGATGAAATGATTATATATATATATATATATATATATATATATATATATATATATATATATATTCTCGTCCTTCAATAACGAAACCAAAAAGATTGTCCGTCAATATGAAAGGATCAAATTGAAAATAAGTAGACAAAACATGTCTAAATTATTCAATAAAACACGTCTCAATATATATATATATATATATATATATATATATATATATATATATATATATAAGATGAATTTAAGAAATGGTTAAAAATAATCCTGCGACTTACTTGAAAATTTGAAGCCTCTCGTTAATTAATTCTAACCCCCTACGCTTACAATCCTGGATTATAATTTCTACATAGCCCGACGTCATAATAATATTTATTCAAACAATATCATTATTAATTGTCCAATATTTTCTCAGATATTATCTTAAGGTCTGATAATTAATGTATGAATAGCGAGCCACAAACAACAGCCTTAGGTATCATGCAATCCTCCTCTGACTTTAATTGTTCATCACTTTCCAGATTATTCTTACCGTTCGTAAGAGGCTTACTTTTTGTAATATTCCACTGGGCAATCAATAACAAATTTCCTTATCCTTCTCTCCATTGTGTCAATTACAATACCAAGTGCACCAACGACACCTGGTCCGTCCTGGGTATGACGATAAACTACATCCACGTCCTGGGTAAGGCGATAAACTGCATCCAACAGCAAGGCCTCTGATCAGGAGGTTTTGAGGAATGTGGAACCACCCCTTAATTGCTGGTGTTACCAAGTCCATCCAGAACCGGGGGTGGGGTTAGCACCTGTTAGGGTCCCAGCGGGGGGTAAATAGTTATCCCCAAATTAGGGTCAAACACCGTGAAAATGTAAAAATAGATTTTAATAGCAGAATACTTTGTAAAAATTATTACCAGCAATAATTTTTTGAAGAAAAGTTATTACCAGCAATACATTATTAACTTCCATACAATTTTGAAAGCAAAATATTACCAGCAATATATTTTTCGAAAAAAAAATTTGTCGGCATTAAATAACCCATTGAGGTTGATATGCCGTAAGACAAACCCAACCAAACCAAACCAAAACCAAATGTTGGTATGATTGTGACCTTCTTAAACTTCCAAAGGCTTTCATGTTCAAACTTCAGCGGGCCATTTGGTTACTTTCTCTTCTTCCTTTTGTTCTAGCTTTTTATCTCAGTACTTAAATGGGTGACCTCTTTGGAATAAATGGATGTGCGGGTGGTGTAACAGATAACGGCTCTGTATAGAAATCTGAGTAGAGGTCCAATTCCAGTCAGGTTCGTTTACGTGTTAACGAAAAACCTAATAAGGCGGTGTCAATAAATGGGGTGTTTTGGAAATTATTAAAAACAAGTCTTTTAAACTATAATAAGACACTTAAGAAATAGAAGTAAAAATAAATGCCCATCAATCTTTTTAACACGTTAACTGTCAATTACGAAATATAACGTCATTCGCCAACTTAATAATAGCTAACTTAGGTTTATATGATTTATTTTCACTAAGTGTTTCCTACAAGAAGTTTGTTTTAAGCTGCCAGTACGTTTTTTCATTCCTACCTTAGACGACAGGTACCAGGTATTTGTGTTAAAAACAATGAAAAAAAGTCGTGTTTGGCGCCTTAAAAACTGCCAACCACAAGATAATGGATTAACTGCCAATCACGAATTATGTAAAATGCTTTAACAAACTCGAAAATATTTCCATGAAGTCATGACAACGTTATAATATAAATAAATGACTATCAATGGCCATTAAGTTAATATATATCCAATACGTTCAAAAATAACATCCTATATCTCTATATAAAACAGAAGATGTTTGTCTATCTGTATGTGTGATACTTTTTCATTCGAGATCCATCCAACCGATTTTGACCAAACTTGGCACGTACTTTGTACAATGTAAGAGATAGCTTCTTAGCATAAAAAATCGATCATAATTTTTTTAAAAAAAGGAATTATCGATAAAGGCGACCAAAAATCGGTAAATTCAACTTCTCTCCTCCCATTTCGTTCAAACTCGGTATGTAGGTTACTTACATCCTGACGAGCTCAGTGATACCTCATTTTTTTAATTTCTGCGCCACCGCGTTTAGCGAAAAGCCAAAAATCGATTTCAAAACAATTCGATTTCAATACAAATTTAAAGTAAAAACTCCCTCAATTTTCAAGCAATATATACAAACTTCACTCACTTGTAGCCAACAATAAGTTGATTGTTTAACAGTCAGTTAACTTGATAAGTGAGTTCACCCATATAGTGAAAACACGCGTAAATAACGAAAAATGGCGATTTTTACTGGTTTATTTCTTATTTTTCGTTGATCTTTCAACTAATTTTCATCAAATTTAACAATTGCTTTATAAATGTATCCTCTTTTATAACACTGGCTACACCGTGACAAATTGAATTTCAAAAACTTCAAAATAATTGTGGTCTGAAGTGGATTTTCATGCTGCCTGTTTTACTCTTTTAAGTCCTCGGCTAACTTCGATTGAATAAATACATACTACTTCTATTATATAAGTAAATGCATTAATTCCAAATGTTTTTTTAATGAAAGTACTTTAAAGTAATTGTAGAAGATAGACTCTCTTACATCTCAACATGATGCTGTTTTTGCTCTGTTCTAATTGAACGCTTTTTTGATCGGCCAGCTGTGTATGGCTGCTAGTACGTTAATAAAAATCGAAAATATTTGCATAATTTCAATTTTCCTTGACTTATTAATTCGTACCCTTTTCTTCCGCCTCAAACCTTAGCAAGCAAGAGTTCAATTCCGTGGGAGTGGAAAAAAAGTTTCAAGTTAACAAGCAGTGAAGGGCTTTTATTTGGCATCCGGGAGTACTTTTGTCTTCATTGATTGTTATTTTGTATGGCCTATCACGGCTTAAGAAAATATTTTTAGATTGTAAGAATTTTTTTTTATTGGTGGGGAGAGATAATATTGATTTACTAATACAAGTCCTACTAATTAATCTATAGATGGCGGAAAAGGTGGTGAATCCGTACCTTTTCCAATGATAGTTGCGCTTAAGTGAATATTACGAACTCGGTTAAAATTAGAACTCGGCTTTTACCATTCCCAATTCCGTGTCGTTATCCAAAAGACTTTTCTGGGGGAACCTATATAAAGCACGTCCTAAAGCTAGTAGCAAATTTAATCTGGGTGCGGGCCGAATACTGATCATATTCGGTCGGGTCGCCCATCGAAGAAGTCTGTTGTTTATTTAGACCTGAAACTTCTAGTGACATGGGAGCAACAACACTGACGACTCACCTAGATTCAGCACTGAAAGGTGTAATTTTAACAGACCACTCGAACACGCAAGCTTATAGCACCTGATATTCCCAAGCGGTCAGACATCTAGGTACTGACTAGGTCGGACCTTGCTTAATTTCGGTGATCATACGAGAACCGGTGTATCAACGTGTTTTTTCCTGTCCTTTAGCCAAAGTTATGACTTTTGCTATGAGATTTTCCCACCCTAACAAAATTCTATCATATCTATATTTTCTTTTGTTTCTTGTTTGTACCCTTTTTTGATCGGTTACCGTTTATAAGTTAATTCTAGAGAATTTATATTTACTACTCATCTGAATCTACCCAATAAATTCAATCCAAAGACGGATATGCAATGTGGTTGGCCCTGATTTGGCAACTCTTCTACAGTCGCTCGTTCACAGACGTGCCCTCGCACCACTCTGTCTTTTCTACAAATACTTTCACGTTAACTGCTCTGGCGAGGTATTTTCCCTAATTCCCAAACTGCATGTATTCAGACGTGTCACAAGGTTGGCATTTCGGTCCCACCGTTTCACTGTCGAAATGGTTAAATATAACCGTCCCATCTATACCAATAGTTTCATATTTCGCACTTCCAGTCTGTGGAACTCCCTTCCTCTTACTTGCTTCTCTGATAGCTATAATCTCCAAATATTCAAATGCAATGTCGATCGACATCTCCTGATGTCTTGATCTATTCTCTGTCCTTCTCTTCATCCTTTCCTCTATCACGCCACTTTACTCTATCTCCCCAAATTTCTGTAACCTTTTTTGTGCTAGTGCCAGCCCCCGCCTTGCTTTGGGTAAAAATTAAAAAAAAAATTAAAAGAAAACCCCCCCAAAACATTGTTATTATGATGAAAACCATGCTGTCTTTTAAACCGTCATAAACTGATGTGTCTTCTCAAAACTGACCTGCGTTTGCTTAAATATCTTAGCTACAATTCTGAGCGGTTCATTGCAGACTTCAGCAATATACATCTCTTTGAAACAGAGATGTTTGAAATACGAGATTAGATAAAAGAAATCGTCAACTATATTGTGTTCTTCAGGTAACTCTCCATTATTTACATCTTCTCACAATTTTAAATGTTTTTTTTTTTTTACCGAATGACCTACAATTGTGCATGTTCAATAGAATTATTTACCTAAATATTCGAATGAATTGTCAATTATGTCCGTTGCACTTCAATAACACTCCATTGTTCATAACCAACGGTATCATCTTTGTGAAAGATAAATATTTCAGAGAGGTTCAGTCTAAGTTGAATGCATCTGAAAGATGCAGGGCTATCAAAAGTTACTTTTAAGAAAAGAACTTATAAGTAAAATCACTTCTCAGATTAGAAAAATACTTGAACGCACACACACGCGCTGTACAGTAAACACACATAGCAGCAGTAGGTTTTAAGGCTCTACAAAACCTCCCCGAATCCTACAAGTATGGGGGTTCCTGATTGGCCACAAAACAATCCAATTGCGCCCCGTCTTCCTATTACCCCAGAGGGAGATATAAAGTTGTTGTTTTTGTTGTTCACCTCTAGGACGTGAACAGACAAAAAGGACTCATCTATCCCTCTTCTGACACCACATGCCGGGAATTTTCCGAGGCAGGTCATTCACCATTCTAGAACAAAAAATATTCACGAAAGGTTAACGTTTTGTAGGTTGTATATTGCTTCTCAGTAGAATAAATGTTATGCTTGGTATATATTTGATTGAACTATTATTCTTTTCTCAGACTTATTCCACAAACACAAGTTCACTGGCATAAATCATTATAATACATTAATCATCTATTTTAGAAAAAGCTTCTGAAATTACAAGCGAAATCCTGTACAGGGCAATATATTTATCAGATTGTTGACGTGATGAACATGGAAATCTGTTCGCATGTCCAAAGAATTTGCGTCACTTGATCGAGAGTCAGTCGACAATCACTTAACAATATTATTTTTTTGTTGTTTTTTTTTATTTTTATTTATTTATTTTTTTGTATTTTGGGGTTTTAAGTTTGAACCACTAAATTGGGAAACGGAATAACTGCATTGATTTCTACAAGATATAAAAAGACTATTTTTCTTTTTTTTTTGCAGCAACCTCTAGCGTTAATGTAGTACGAATCAATAGTGTATGACACAATTTTATGAATTGCAGAACTACTTTATAAAAAAAAAGACAATCTGATTTACCCTATACATTGTTTTTATTCTTCCAGTTAATATCTATCTATCTATCTATCTATCTATCTATCTATCTATCTATCTATCTATCTATCTATCTAATTCTTTCAGCTCATATCTATCTATCTATCTATCTATCTATCTATCTATCTATCTATCTATCTATCTATCTAATTCTTTCAGCTCATATCTATCTATCTATCTATCTATCTATCTATCTATCTATCTAATTCTTTCAGCTCATCTATCTATCTATCTATCTATCTATCTATCTAATTCTTTCAGCTCATATCTATCTATCTATCTATCTATCTATCTATCTAATTCTTTCAGCTCATATCTATCTATCTATCTATCTATCTAATTCTTTCAGCTCATATCTCATCTATCTATCTATCTATCTATCTATCTATCTATCTAATTCTTTTGTTCATATCTATCTATTTAACTTTTTCGGTTCGTATCTCTATATCTAATTCTTTCGGTTCATATCTACTCATGAATCTAAATCTTTTGGTTCATATCTACCGCTTTCAGTTCATATGCACAAGCATACACTTACTTAATGAATTTCCTGTAATTTATTGATTTCATATATTCCCATATATATATATATATATATATATATTTGTGTCTATATATACTGCTACTCCATCCTGCTCATGAGCACAAGCAAGATAAAGACATTGAACTTATTTACATTCATACGTATTTTTGTTTCGCGCGCATTAAATTAATTTTCTCCCCAGTGTTTGCATTAAATTAATGTAAAAATGTAACAGAAATATATTGAATAATAAAATTTAAATATATATGTAATATATAAAGGAAGTAATATTAACTTGACCTGTTGTAACATTTATAAAAGAACGATCATGCTTAAAGAAGTTAAAATTATTCATTAATAATGAATCGTTTTGAATTCTCAAGGGGGGGAAAGTTTTCCTTATTTATAAACAATATTGCGTTTGAAGATTCTGAATGTACTGAGAAATATAAACGGTTGTTTATCCTACAGAAGGGGACACTGGTTCGATCCCTGTCGGAGAGCACATTTTTTTATTAACAATTTCTCGAACGTGCAGACTAATAGACGTAATATACACGGTATTTACACTGATTCAGGTTGTGACACAATAGCTGCTCCAAACTGGTCAGAGCCGGTCCAAGCTAGTCATAGCCGTGATACCACCAGCACAGGGACGGATTCCTGTGACCGGTAAGTGTATTTACTTGACCCCTCACTGAGTCAGTTTGTGACACAAGGTCAGTTTTTAACGTGAGGACCCGAGTGTTTTCACTCGGGCCGCTGGTCTAAGCTGGTCTTAGCTGGTCATAGCTTGTCCAAACTGGTCAGAGCTGGTCTAAGCTAGTCATAGCCATGATACCACCAGCACAGGGACAGAGCCCAGAGGTAGGTAAGCATCCGAGTGCGTACACCCTTCCAAGGAGGGATTTACGTAATATATACGGTTTAAAATAAAAATGTGGAGTCTACTTAAAAAATAAAACGTTTGAAATAATTATACAGGATGTCCCCGAAACGAGTACTCATTATTTGACTTCCTATAACTTCTTGGATCTTGAATCCACCCTAATAATGGCATGAGTACCACTTTTGGAAGAAAGAAAAGTAAATTGTTATTGGAAACACGAAAACTTCAAGGAAAATGATGGTCGTCCTTTTGAATATTTCCAAAATGCATTTAATACAACTCTTTGTCGACGAGGAAGTACTACATTCCTCCGCTCTACCAACTAAGCTACCACAAGTAAAAATAAAAAAAATTACCCATATCAGACTTTTTTAAAATAAATTACCAGCAATAGATTTTTATAAAAAAAAACAATTACTCATGCTCCAACGAAAAATTAATTTTCGGTATTATTTGGCCCATAGAGTGTTGATATACCGTTAAACTGTGTAGGATACAGGTTCGATTCCTGTCGGAGGACGCATATTTTCTATGAGGTTTCTCGGACGTTCAGGCCGGTAAATGCTGTTAATACTTTTTTATTATAAACAGACCATTTATTTAAATATTTGCATCTATATAAATAACGTATATATATATATATATATATATATATATATATATATATATATATATATATATATATAAGGTCATCCCATAAGTTCTGTCCAAATTTTAATTTTTTGTTAAAATGAACGAGATTTAAAGAGTATTTTATAATGTCTAATATAGCTGAACATTATTTTTTATGTTTAGATGCATTTAAACTGATCAAATTTTATTTCAGAGAACAATAAAATTAAATTTGGTTTGATTAAAACCCTGCTAACATGGAAGTACCCAAGAATCATTTGAGGCACATAATGCTTTATGAGTTCCAGAAAGGAAACTCAGCAGCCGAAGTGGCTAGAAACATTCACTCAGTTTATGGAGATGAATGTGTCAATGAAAGAATTTGCAGAAGATGGTTTGCAAAATTCAGAGGTGGAGATTTTACCCTTGAAGATGACGATCGAACAGGACGTCCAGTTGAGTTTGATTAAAAGCTTCTTACATCCTGCTTTATCAGTGGTTCTCAGTTCAAACCATACAACTGTTCATCGTTGTTAATAGATGGAAGGAAGTCAGGTAATCAGGGAAAATACTTTGTTGTTTGAATCTGTAATTAAATGTAACATTGGTCATTGTTTTCTTTATTCAAAATTCGGACAGAATTTATGGGATGACCTGATATATATATATAATAGCACTTTTTATGAACAGGGACAAAATTTTTGTGCCAGCGTTTTGAAACTAAGCAAAAACTCCACATAAAAGGAAGTTACTACAACAAAAAAACTGCTCTTACAAAATACAAACCCAAACAAAATATATGAGCAACCCTCGTTGCCACAAAAATTATCGCCCCCATTTCATAACGGCAAAAGCAGCGGAGAAAAGTGCTCAGAAAAAAAAATATTATACACAGTTTCTCTACATACAATTTT